GAAAGAGTGGAAATTAGGATGAGCTTCAGAAAAGAGCTGGAAGCAATTAGTTGTGTTATTTTACTGTGACTTAATTACCGTAACATTCAAATTGCAAAGAAAACATGGATGCTACAGGAGGGGTTTGCTGCTAGATACGAAAGGGAAGACGACTACATTAGAATGGACATGATGTGTTATAATTAACGTGTTTATTATTACTGAGTTATACATTTAATAATCTATTTACTTAGGATGCACTGGAGCATATGACATGTATTAAGAATTCATAACAATACACAAAATTAAACTGTCCTCAGATGGAAGCAGAACTCACTGCACATCCTCCATGGCCTGTGTGGGTCAGGGCCAGCACAAGCTTATGTGAGCCCAGATAAGCCCTCTGTGGCTCTCCGTTCTCTGCTGGCCCTGAAACAAGAAAAGAGACCAGGGAAAACTATATCAACAGGAAGAACATAAAATAACGATGACCACATGGGGTCAGCTCAAAGGTCCTTCTAGCCCAAAATGCATCTCTCTTTTTTCTTCAGCTTGTATAAATCGCCTTTTGCTGGCGATTTCAATGGACAGGAGAGGTGATAAGTTTAACAGAAGCCATAAACAGAAATCTAGGAAAGAGTAAGAACACAACAAGCCAAGGTGATAGCTGACTGCGCTCCCATCCTGCAACTATTTGCTCTGTAGGAACTCCTGAAGTAAAATAAAGGGAGAAGGGGCGGGTGAGAGCTGAACCAAACACAGCAGTGTCCCCGTCTCTCTTCAGGCACTCTAGTGTACTGATAATCGTGATAGTCATAAAAGAGAGTATCTGTACCCATTATCTCATGGATCAGTTCGTATGTTTCACGAGAGGGTGTATCTGTATCTGTGCTTTGTGAGGGGATGGCTACTTGGGGAAGCAGAACAGCTGATACAGATGTTTTATTTGCAGCTGCTCTATGCACAGGTTACTGACACTGGGACATGTAGTCATCCTCCTTCTCCAAAGGACTGTGCCCAATGCTCTTTGGAGCACGTCTGAAAACAGCTAGTCAGTGAGGTTTTACTGAACATGCTATTAGATTTTTTGCACAACTAGTTTTCTTTATTTTTTTTTGTGTAGCTGACTTGCTTTTACTGTCTCTAGTAGTTTGCTCTTCACAGTTTAAGAGCCACATTCTGTAGCCATTTGCAATTTATGTCAATGGGAAGTCTGTGCTCAGGGGTGCTGGCAGAAGCCGGCTCCAATGTTTCATAAAATAACATCTCAGTCCTTTCAGCAGGTTGTCATTTTCCTGTTTTGTTTAATTCCTGTAACTGTCTTCATATGAAACCCTGAAGCTGCAATATACATTTTGGTTTTCTGTTACAATGCTTGTTTTTGTAGTGGGAAATGTAATCCTCCAAATGCCTGTGTTTAAGAGGATGCAAATCAGCTTGCTAGCACAATGCTTTGGGAACGTTTCTTTCATGCAAAACCCAGCTAGATAAATAAGGAGGGGTGGAGGGAGAGGGAAAAAGGATTGTTTGCTTCTGTAAACAACAAGAATTAATTACGTTCAATAAATGACAGATGGGTTAAGATCAAAATCTGAATCTTTCTCAATGTGGGTGAAATCTACACTCCTATCTCCGAGTTGCATCAAAACCCATTGCACAGCCTGTCCGGTGCCATGGGGCAATGACAGGGCGTGATGACAAGAGCTGTGACTTGTGGCTGTCCCGGCAGGGAGTGCTAGGGCCAGCATGCCTGGTACCACCGCCTGCCACGGCGGGATGCAAAATACCTCCACTATGAATCTGAAGTGTCTCTGGACCACATCTGCTCCATCAGGGAAACACCAGCCTACCCCCATCCTGTTGCAAGGCAGAAAAAAGGTTATTGCTTCCTGGTGCTCTCACCACCCTGAGCTGCCGTAGGAAAAGGGACCAAACTGAGTCTTGGTTTAATGCAACCAACTGTAGAAAAGTGAAATGCATTTGAAAGCTCACAGTGAGCAGAAAAACTCCATGATGCAAAGGCATTTCTCTGATGGTGATGTCCTAGTACTTGGCACGCAACAGCTGCGTATATGCTTATATACATCTTAAATTATTAACTTCTTGGAAGGCATCTTTGCTGTCCCAATTCCAGCCATGCACAGAGTGTGCTGTAAGTGCAGGAGGGGATAAATGAGGGCACATACAGCTCATTCCACTGTGCACTTGCACAGTCAGGAAGATTGTGATAATCAGAGGATAGGTGAAATCAAGGAATTACTTCCTCCCTCACCCCAAGCATTTGGGGAGATGAGCTCTCCTTGTTTGTCTCCAAATAAGCATCATGGCCAAGGATTCTCAACAGAAAATCACTGCTCTCCAGCTCCTGTTCCTACCTCTACTAGAGAACAACTGGGTGATCTGAGAAAAGTCACTCTGCCTCTGCTTCGTTCTCCCTTCCACCCTGTGATTACAGGGGGGTTTGGCAGTCAACTATTTCACATTTGCAAACCCATTTTCAAAGCTTTTTTGAAAGCAAGTGATAGAAGTGCAAAATCTTATTATTGCTCTTGAAGAGCTTTTTGCAAAGATGCTTGTTAATGAGCTTGCTTAATGAGCTTTCTTAAATCTATATTTATATCCTATATACAGCTGTATATAGATAGAGCAATGCCTAAAATATGTATGGATTGCACACACATATGCCTAGGAAAATAAAGGCTGATTAACACACATCTTTTTCAGTTATTACTGTGCAAGTATTTATTCCTTTTTCCTTGGAAATTGGAGAGATAAAAGATCCATTCTGGAATAAAATAATTTTGTGCATATGTGCTAGATGGTTTTGTTTATGAGACTGAAGTATGTGAGTGTGTGTATGTGAGACAGATGGTGTGTCTGTTTGTGAAAGATATGATGCGTGGATGAATGTGTGTAAAAATACAGGTTTCTTAACAGCTATTCTTTTTTTTTTTTTTTTTTTGAAGAAAAGACAAAATAACAAATGCCTGCTTGGTACATTATTTCACCGTGTCATGCTCTTTGTCAATATGACAGAGGAGTATTCCTGCAGAAGGCGAAGCTGCCCCAGAAAGTGAAGGGTGCTGCCCCTAGGGTTTCGAGCTGGGCATTGTGAATTCTCTTCAAGTTTTCAAAGTCCTGGAAAGTTTTGATAAGCAAATACTTTCTGGGCTCTGGTTCTCTATTGGCTGCTTCTTCACCGCCAGATTTTGACACAAATAATCTGATTGAAAAATCAGGGAGGGGAACAGGGGCAAAAAAACAGAGAGAGAAAAAAGGAGAAGTATCTATTTCAGCAGACGGCGACGAAGTGAAAAAGTGGAAGAGGAGTCCAGAGAGAAGACGACGTCTTGCTTGTCTGGGGAGATTTCAAGGCGAATCCAGTAAAGCAAAGTCCCCCAAACAGGTGACTTATTTATTCTTTTAATCACTTCTAATTTCATTGTTTTTCTCATTTCTCTGAGATGTTTTTCTAAGCTTTTTCTTCTTTGCTTGTGTTTGCAAATATGTAACATATTCCACTGCGTAAGTCACTTGTCCTGAGGATTCCTTTATGATAATGGTTCACTTAAATGAGTCAAACCTTTTAAAATTATGCACCATATACTTCACTCTCACATGTGAAAATGGTAATAGTAGAACAAAATAGAAAAGATGTGACAATGGTCTCAGATACCTGCGTCCCACCAAGCTCCATGAAGCAGGAACAGTTTCCAGATGTAGACTTTTGTACTTAAGCATTGAGGAGAGGGTGTACTGTGTTTTTCCTTTTAATTGCTCTTTTACAGAGCCAGACCTTTAAATTCAGAAAACAGCACACCTCTGCTGACATCAATTAATCTATGCCAATTTTGCTAGATGAGAATTCGGTCTCTCCTGTTCAGGATTTTTGCTTCAAATCTATCTTTTCTTTTATTAGTTTTCCATCCTTTCCAAGTACATGCTGATTAGTGTAACAGTTTTTAGCATATGGAATTAGCTATTTATAGACACTCCTCATATATCACCAGATTGATTCAATACATTAAGCAGGAAAACAAATGATTTGCAAGTTCACACAGTAAGTGCATCTATACATTAAGGGGATACAGAATTTGTTAGATTTATCCATGGAAGCCTAAGGTAAAGTTTGCTAAAGCCAGTGGCATTCCCAACATCACTAGGAGCTAAATGAGGTTTCTAAAGAACAAATGCTGCAATTATATTCTAAACATTTTTTCTAGATACTACAGATGTACAAGCATTTCTGTTCCACTTCTTGGACAAAATTTCCACCATAATTTGCTATCCCTGCCATAATGTCCGTTTGCCCAGTCTTACGACAGGAATTAAAAATGTTCTGCTCATTTTTCCACTTAAAAAGCCACATTCAAATTACTTGCCCCAAGTACACTTGATTTTGCAAGGGTGGACTAATGAAGACATAATTAATTTTGTTGTAAAGAACTGAAATTCTTTTTGAATATGATTATATTTAAAGAGTCAGGACATCATAAAACCTCTTATTTTATTCGCGCTCTTAAAAATTTCAGACACAGGTTGTGTTCTGGTTTGTGCTTTTTTCTTTGAAAATGTAGTCTTCCAAAAGACAAACTATTCTTTATTTTTGGTAGCTTCACTTTTGCCAGAAAGAACACAAAAAAGCAATATTAAGATTTAAATACAAATTAAGCAATGGGAAGGAAATAAGCCTCTTTTAGCTTAAAACTTTGTACACTCATCAACTTATATGAAGACATATATCAATTGTAAGTTAAAATTAAGTATTTCTGCTGACTGTAGTGGGAAAAAGGGTTTAGTCTCTACAATTAGCCTTATAAATTTGAAAACAGGATTACCTGAATTTAGAGGAAAATGAAAGCCAGCTTTAGAATAGAACTTACGCTGCAAATTGGGTTCCTGATTCAGCGTGGCACAATGCTGCAAACACCTCTTCCCAAATACAGTGTTTCATGTTATGAATCGTCTCACTGAAGGAACCAGAGAGATCAGCTCCATAATCCAATTCAGTGAGAAGATGAATTTCTTCTAAATTATATCAAAGGGCCCAATCCTGTATTTTTGGGTACTGGGCTTCACAAGGAACATAGGATCAAGTGAAATTAGGATCCTGAAGTCAGAAACCGCCCCCTAAAAACCCCTCTTTTAATCTGGTTCTTGCACAATCTCCAGTGTTTCAGTATTACATTACAGTTTTACATGTGATACTCTGCAAAATCACCAGAGAGCATCACTGAGGATGAAGGAACTTTGAGCTTGAACATAGGAGGGGAACACGCGAATGCTGGGTCCGCTTTCAGGTCTGACTGGGGAATTTATAACTGGTAAAAGAAGCCCTTCTAAGGTGCTTCAAGTTAGGTATCCAAAATAGTGAAGCAGGTTTTCCCTTGGGTCCTTTTGGCTGTCTTTTCCTCAGGGCAGATTACTACAACATTATTGTACATCTACATGAATGGCAAACAAATAAGAATGTCAATTCTATCTGGCTACTGATTTTATATTCTGTATTGAATCAAAAAAATGCCATGACGCTTCCATTTTGGGAATGTTGCCACAGGGGCTGGCAAGAACAGACTCCATAAAAATAAAGTTTAATTTTTAGCAAAAGGTTGAAGCTAAATTCTGTTGGAAGCTTCAATGACTTTAAGACATAGCGGGGTCTGTTGTACACAACACTACTCTCCCTGTGAAATATAGCCAGCCATTAGTAGCAGCTGATCACTTGCTGCTGATAATCTTGAGTTTCAAGGAGAGATAGTATTTTTTTCTCTCACAATCTGTGCTTCTAGCTTTCCTCTAACCCGGTTGTGTGAATCACAAAGACAGTCCAATGCAGTTGTTAATTAACTATGCTTCGGGACCCCAGTTCCTGTTTTCTCCGTAAAATGCGGTGGGGGAAGGTAACTTCCTTTTGTAACGTTCAGTAGTGCATTAAAGATCGTTGTGCTCAGTAGAGGCCCTTATCAGCAGTCAAGATACTGGACCAAATTTGACTTTTACATATGCTGGGACAAACACATCCAGAAAAATCCCGTTGATTCATGTGCACCTACTTTCAACCGCCATCAGAAAAGAGAGGCTGTACTTAGTGCCTTCGTGTACTTAGCATATGGGTACTACCATAAAACACTGCAAGATTGCTTATACCACCTATCTCCAGTCCTCTAATTTACCTGGCTAAGCTGTCTGGCTAATGCCTCCTGTAGCCAGTGGGCAGAGTGACTCTTCCAGCAGGCACTGCTGGGTGCACGCTTTCATCCTGCATTCAGAGTTACCCGCTGCTGGAACCTCTTCCTCCACTGTGTAGGAAGCCCAGGGCAATTAACTGGTTAATACAGGCAGAGAAATCAGGTGTCTAAAGCTTGCTGGTATGAATACCCTCCATTGTGGACACAGTCCTGCCCCACCCCATGGGAAAATCCCTTTGAGATGAGTGGAAATTCCATGTATAAAGGGTTTGTGGCAGGACTTTAACTTGGGGCACGGCTATCTTGCAGAGTGCGGCTCCATGCACAGATACCCCACCTGGGACTGACCAAGAGCAGCGAGACCCTCTGAGCTAAGCACTTCTGCTCGGATGCGAGGTGCACAGGCTAAGCAGAGCTCACTGCTGGGAGGGTTATGCCCATCGTGGAACACGCCTGTGTTTGTATCGAGCTGGAGGTATTTCTGTGCATGCAGCCTTTCGCCAGGCAGAGATACACTTTACGATACTTAGGAAGAACCTCATTAGAGAGTTACAGAAGAGTAAATATAGCAATGTACTTCAGTGTCCCATCCCTCAAGAGCATACTTATGGTTCATTCTCAGTACTGTTTTGTCCTCTTTCTAAAATTAAAATAACCAATCTACTCTTGGCCTCTGTTTTCTCTTATTCATCTCAAGTTACATGCCAATTTCTTGGAAAAAGATGAAGAAAAACAGGTGAGTCATTTCAGGAGAGAAAATGGCTAGACACACCAAGAGTTGTCCCTGAAGTCGTAGAAGAAACAGTGGGAGTCCTGGACCAGATTTAAAAAGACAGCTATAACTGCATTTCCAAAGGCAGCTGGGCTGGTGACAACAGTGGGTTTGGCAATCCACCTGTCCGCAGCAGACCTCGCTGCGTGAATCCCACAGTATATGTAGCTGCAGCCGTAGGCAGCTCTGTAAATCTGGCCCTCAGACCTTTAAACAAAACACCACTGGGCTATGTAATTATATTTAGCATGTAGGGGTAGTGCGGGCACTTCTGAACCCTAGGGAGCAGACCTTTTCCATCCCTGGCTGTTTGGGATTCCAGGAGCCCACACTGCTCTGTCCTGATTTACACAGACGTTTCAGGTCATTCCTACTTAATGGGAGCAAACTTTGTTCTTTTTTTTTAGTAAATAAGTAGGCTACACTTCAACTGCTCTCAGGAAAAAAAACAACTTAATAATGCACTTTCCAATCAACAGAGGGCCAGGACATACTGCTGACTTTTCATATGAAATATAGCAAGATTTGCTTTTAGTGCTACTATCCTGAATAATTACAAGGGAAAATGCAAATACGTATGCAAATAAGGCGCCAGCTGATATTGCCGTACACAGCATTGAGCCTGTTGTCATACTGCCTACATGAGAACAGTTACTAACCATGGGGAGCAGACACAGGGCGGGCTGGGTTCTGGGTAGTAAAGATAACAGATGCATTGCAAGAGAATTTTGTATGATTAAATTTCAGCATTTTATGTTTGTTCCTAACCCGTCATTTCAACGGTCTGTGATATTTGAGTCAGATCCAAAAGGTAACCTCTATCGCCCAGCACTTCTGCTCTGCCTCTGCTTCACTCTTGTTTGTCAGCCAGAATACAAAATACTCAAGCTACGGCCAACAAGAAGGAAACCCAACACACATGATGGCTGCGGGGATTTTCCACTGCATCTCTCCTACTATTGATGTTGTTTCTATAATTATTATTTGTGTAGTGATTTCACAGAGGAGCCCATGTCATGGCTTGGGACTGTGCTGTTCTAGGTGCGGTACAAACACTAAGACAGACCCTTTCTCAAAGGGGTGGTCTCCAACCCATGGTACCCACTGCGTCCTCTCAGGAGGGTAAGGTCAGAGATGCACCGTGTCCTGTAGTCAGAGCAGAGAGCTACAAGAGAGAGATTCTAGGTTCTTATGGATCTTTGCCACAGAAACAGTTTTGGTCTGTAACGCAGCACTCAATTTAAGCATGCCTCTATTTCTCCACCTACAATATAAAGAAAGCAGTAATCCTTTGCCTCAACCCAGGGGTAGATGATGAAGTGTAATTTTTATGGGTTATACTGTAATCTGCAATCCCATCTTCGATCTGCAGTCCCATCTCTACATTCAGTGGCAGAGGCTATCTGGCAGTAGGTTATTTTGCTTAGCCCCCTCCACAGCTATGTATTTTCCCCAGAGTTGAGATCCATCAAGCACCTAAACCCAAGCAAGCACTCCCTGCTCTTCAACTGGGTGGAGGAACCTTTGAGATGAACTCTCTGTCTCCCCAGTAGAAGGGTTTTAATTCTCATTACTGCTGCATACGGAGCTGATGTGCTGGGGAACAACTGAGAAATTACCCCCCAAACCATAAAGATTTACCTGCTGTTATTCTGTGTTTCTGCCCAGGCAGTGAATGGAAAATGCCACGTTCCTTTTTGGTGAAGAGCAAAAAGGCTCATACCTATCATCAACACCGCTTTGTAGAAGATGACCTGCCTATACTCACATGGGATCCAGTAACCTCTCCTTTCACTGGTGAGTCAATCCATCCACTGGGCTTGTAAGAATACACCAAGGCAAATCAATAATTGAGTAGGCAAGCTAAGGGAGTAGGATGAGTGAGCTAAAGAACAACTAAGGCCTTCCACATGGGGATGGAAGGACAAACTGATCCCCCACTGTGTGCCATCTTTCTCTAGGCCAAATCCACACTGCCCCACTGAAACCAAATTTAGATCCTCCCTTTGTTTCCTGCTGGGTTGCTGGGGAGATTTGAGATATAAGATTGCTGTGTGGAGTTGGTCACTTTTGGGAAAGATGACCAACTTCAGGCAACTAACAGTTGGGAAAAGAGCTTGCACTTGGTTGTCAGTCTTCTACATACTCACAGCTCTGCCACCTTGATCTCCGGCTTGCTATGTTCACTGTCCACATTCTCTCTGGACCTACATCTTCTCTACCTCAGTGTGTTACCACCTCCTACCAATGATTTGTAAGGAAGGTTACAGCTAGAGTGAGAAGATACTAGCGATACTCTAACACTGACTGTGAAAGGGGTCCTACACACCCAGAGGTGAAGGGCTGGCTGCTATATGCTATATTAACACAAACCAACATTGCTTCTGTCTGTGCCTGCTGTCCTCCCTCTGGTCCTGTTCATGCTTTCCCACAGCCATCCAAGCAGTGGCAGGGCCGGGGCATATCATCTTCCTTCAGGCACCATTCAAATTTTCTTTATTCAAATCTGGGATCAACTTACCCTTTGTTCTAGCCCTGGCTATGAAATTAGAGTCCAGCCCTACGAGAAGTTTGATAAAAAAGAAAGGAGGTGACATTTTAATTTCAATTCCTGCCGTCATACTTTGGCCATTTGTTGTGTCTCGCTGGTGCACAAGAGGGTTTGGACGACAGATGAATATTGTCCTTCAGCAGCCCAGTCCCATCTCCAGGAGGAAGGAGGCACATGTATTGAACCTCTGTCCATTTTAGATTCTTACTGTAAAGTCTACTTCTAATAAGTGCTGGTTGGTCTCTTTAAGGGCTGGGACAATCATGGAGGAATGGGAGTGTGGGCAGGAGGAGACGAGGCTCTGTGGTCACCTTCGCAACTGCATAAGCAGTTACCTCCCCTCTCTGCTTCCCTACTTGGCTGTCCATAAATTCAGGTTAACAATACTGAACTCTCTTAGGAGAGGGGTGGGGAGGTTAATGAGTTAGTGATTGTTAGTTACCCGCACAAATGAAAATGGTTTTAAATAGGGAAATGATTCTTACAGACATGTGGCCTTCTAGGGTTAATTTTCTCTAACTATATAGGGTATCAGGTGTCCTATCATTTCTTCCTGCCCCCCTCTACCTTGCCTATCTCATCCTGCTTGGAATTTCCCTTTGTCAGCAATGGACAGACCTTGATTGCTGTGCTGATTGCACCACTCAATTCAGGGAATTGAGCATGGGCTCATGTATCCAAGCATGAATTCATACGTAAGTACAAAACCTGCCTTAATAGACTCTTCTCTTAACAGCTAGAATAAACTAACTGTGACTCGACTGTGTGATTACAGCCATAGGAGACAAGACACTGGAGGATGTCAAGAAACGGGACCTAGGATGCGTAGTTCCAAAACAAGAAAAGGACCCATCTGAACTGAAAGAAGAAAGTGTCCCTGTACAGTACCTGAGCAGGATGCCACCAGGCCCTTCAGCTCAAGGTCTGCTACCCAAGACCACAATTGCAAAAGAGGTCAGGGCTGGGCTGGCTTATGGAGCCCCTGTGACTGGGACCAGATTTTCAGTAAATGGCAGTTCTTTTTTTGACATTAATGGTCAAACTTGTCCCAGGCAGAGCTCATCAAGAGCATTCTATATTTCCCTTTACAATTCTGATCTAGATCAGCATCTCCCTGAAGGATGACGCTATGATTCCCAATGAGTGAGCCTCCAAATCTGAAGGACTAATGCAATTCCGTGCTCTATGGGTCAAGGCAGGTGGCCACATGATACTTGCTCAAACACCACATGAAGCAGGGCTAGTAGGGGGGTTAATATTCCCTTAGCATCCCCTCTCCCCTAAAATTTCCTCAGACTGAAATCAAAGTCATAATAGGAACTTTGTATGGGGATCAGGGTTTGAATCAGAGGAGGAGGAGTTACCAACTGCAACTCCCAAGGTCAGGCAGGACATTAAATGGGGGAATGGTACCTGGGGAGCTTTTCTACTGGTGCCAAACTGCAGCAATGGCATGACACTCACTTCTCCCTCTCCTTTGCAAACTCAGAGGTGACCATCCCAGGTCTGCAGATCAAAGACTGCATTAACACAACAAGCACCCCTACCTTCTACAAAACCGGCTTTTCTTGGGATGCTTTCCATTTGCCATACAGCTACCGACAGATGTCTTCCACCATGCAGTCAGCCCTCTTGGAGCACCCAGTTAGCCTCTACGGAAGCCACCTCTTGCCAAGCGCCGAGCCCCCTCTGGATTACAGCATGCATTACTCCTCGGACATGGAAACCTACCACTGTGTAAAGTGCAACAAGGTGTGTCACAGGAGAACCTCAGGGATGGGGAGGGCCTAGAGTGATTTTCATTGCATATATCAGTGTTTCATTGCGTTACACCAAAGTGCAATGCATGCGGCTCAAAATGGGTACCTACTTGTTCTCCTGACTAAGGACAAGGGCGCTAGGGATGATACAGTTCACATGGCCCACAAGAAGGAAGAATCAAATAAAGAGAAGGAATTGAAAATGGAGATGGAGACACAGCTGCTTCACATAAAAAAAATAATTGGCATTTTGTTTTGCAGGTATTCTCCACTCCCCATGGACTGGAGGTCCATGTCCGAAGGTCTCATAGTGGGACCCGTCCCTTTGCTTGTGAAGTATGTGGCAAAACCTTTGGACACGCTGTAAGCCTGGAGCAGCACACCAATATTCACTCCCAGGTCGGTAGCATGTTTCCAGAGAACGAGCTCTCCAGAGTTCATGAGTGCTTGGACCTTAGCTGTTGCTTACTCCATTACAAAAGAAGTGACATTTCCTAGGTTACAAACGTGATGCCTTTCCTGTAGCACCCAATGACAATGATAGGAGCTCTGAAGACCATAGATCATAGATCTTGGTCTTACAAATCTCAGACTGCCCTTGAGAATTCCTTGGATGGGAAGGGACGATCGTTGCTACTGGTTCTTCTGTGCCTCACCTCCTCCTAAAGGGTGCAGGAGTTTGGATCACAAGATGTAATCTATTTCCATAAGTAACCCTCCCCACATTCTCTTTGTACTGCACCTAGCATATCAGTCCATGAGCCAAGGAGATTTGCTTATCTTATCTGCTATTCTCAACACCCTTAACACTCTTCAAGCTCTGTCACATGTCTTGACTGGTTCTTCTGTGCCTCACCTCCTCCTAAAGGGTGCAGGAGTTTGGATCACAAGATGTAATCTATTTCCATAAGTAACCCTCCCCACATTCTCTTTGTACTGCACCTAGCATATCAGTCCATGAGCCAAGGAGATTTGCTTATCTTATCTGCTATTCTCAACACCCTTAACACTCTTCAAGCTCTGTCACATGTCTTGCAGCCACAGGCATCCCATGTCAGGAAAGAAGTTTTGAGTGCAAGATGTGTGGGAAGACATTCAAACGCTCCTCCACCCTCTCCACTCATCTACTGATCCATTCAGACACACGGCCCTATCCCTGCCAATACTGTGGCAAGCGCTTCCACCAGAAGTCAGATATGAAGAAACACACTTACATCCATACTGGTGAGAAACAAACTATTCCCAATAAGCAAATGCAAATTAGAGTCCATCATGCTGATACGCATACATAGTCCCCAGACACAGAGCTATTGGACTGGGGGTAAGTGTCCAGAAGCACTGGAAAGTCATTCTTCCCTGTGTGGTAAGACAGCAGAAGGTCTAAGCATCACTGAGATGCACGTCCTCCTCTGTGTGACAGGGAGGTGGTTATTGACCAGCCTCTGGTGCATGTCATGGTTATACCCAGTCCTGGATGCAGACAGGGCATGGGCCACACAGTTGGGGAGGACTGCCTCTGGTTCTTCTCACGCTCTGGTGCTGGATCAGAGTGCGGACACATTAGCAGGACAGCTGGGCTGGCAGCACCCTGATGCCCAAGCACAGCCAGTCAGGTCTGAGTCTGCTAAAGGGCATTTCTACCTCCCTTCTCTCATCTGTCAAAGTGTTTCTTACCATTTTCTCTGCATTTGCAGGGGAGAAGCCCCACAAATGCCAGGTATGCGGCAAAGCCTTCAGCCAGAGCTCCAACCTCATCACTCACAGCCGCAAGCACACTGGCTTCAAGCCCTTCAGCTGTGAGCTCTGTGCCAAGGGCTTCCAGCGCAAGGTGGATCTACGGAGGCACCGAGAGACCCAACACAATCTCAAGTGAGGGGTGGCTCCAGGTCTTTGCAGGAGCTCCCACTCCTAGTGCATGCTCCAGGGAAGAAGACTCTCCCCAGCATCTCCATCCAGCGTGGGGCTGCCCACCTCATAAAGCTCGTATCGCTTCCTATGTTCCCCTGGGGACTGGCAAAGTCATGTCATTGGCTTTGATGTTCTGGCACCCTAGGGCCTTGCACATTCCAGTAGGTGACAAAGAAACCTGTGGGACCTCTCACTTTTCAATCACAACAGGTACCAGCCCAGATCTGACGTCACCCACTCACGTGCAAATCCAGAGGAATTCCTCCAAGGTCACTATTACTCTGGATTTACACCACATGCAGAATTTGGTTCATCAGACTGACCACCAGTGAGGTGGGAACTCCTGGACTAGTGGCAGCAACAATCTGTGCCAAGCTAGTGCTGTAACCATGTTTTGCTTTGATGGTTAGGAAGATAAGGCTGGGGCATGCAAATAGATTGCATTCAGTGAGCTGTGTTCAACCTAGACAGGGCTTCTGCAGAGACTTGCCCAGGTCATAAAGTCTGGCACAGACACCTAAAGTCATTTTCTTTCAGTGGAGCATTTACTGTGATCAAATGACAAGTTAACTGTGTTGTATTTTTAGCTTGGAGTGGGAGGAAAATACTGAAAAAACAGCTCCTATCCCTAGCTGATAACCGGGGTCTCTAAATGCATTCCTCATACACGCCGCACTGCAAAGATCCCTGGGTTAGTGGCAGCCAAGCGAGCTCCAGGAAGAGCCGTGCCACAGCACTAGGCATCAGCTAATAAGCCCCATGTTTCAGTACCATGCGAGAGAGACTGGCCGCTCTTGGAATCTGGGCTGGTATGTCCCACAATATTTCACTGCATGCTGGACATACCGGCTTAGAGCTGTCCTGGGCAATCCTGTGTGTCACTGCATGGCCAGGAATGGCCCTTGGATATCAATGTCAAGGGCCAGAGTTCTGCTTTCCAGCCGCTCTCTTAAAGGAGGAAGTGACCTAGCCTCTATACACATTGCCATAGTATGCGAGTACCTTATACAAACAGAGCAGTGGTATTTCCTCCTCCTCCTTCCAGGTCTAGGGGTTGAAGCAAAGCGCTGGAACAAGTAAAAAGCCAGTTCCCCTCCAAGCTCTGCTACATTCTCACAATATAACCTTTGGCAAGTCACTGCACTGGGCTTTTATTTCTCCACCCCTCCTGGTGATGTGGAGTCATTCACTCAGGTTTGTAGAGTCCCTGGAGTTCTTAACAGGAAGGTCAAAGTATTATTACAGCATTAAAAAGACAAGTGCTTTCAGCTAAGTGTGGCATTGTTGCAGCACACAGCCCACTCCATAACTACATCCCTGAACACATGGCCTTAGACAATGACACCGGTGGGAAGGAGAACGGGCCGTGGCACTAGCCATTTCACTCCCAATGCTTATGAAGGAAGGCTGCCATCATGGGCAAAGAAGAAACGGTCCAAGTGGAAAATTCATTTATTGCCAGGAGAGAAGAGGTCTGTCCTGCCTTCAGTTACACTGCTGTAAATCCAAAGCCATTCTCCTAAGACCTAAAATGTACTCGCCCCTGTTTTATGCTGTGCCTAACCTGTTAGTCATTAATATGCATTCTGGAAGCTCAAAACAGAGTCTGTACTCCTGGCTTTGCTTGTACACTGTAAATATGTATTTATACTTATTCTAATGTATATTTTTATTGCACTATACCAGACAGTGACAACTTGTACAGGCCTGCTGGGATTTATCTGATAAATCTGTTCCCTCTCAGTAACTGAGCTAACACACTGTATTTCATGTAAAAACATCCATTTCAAGAAAGGCTCATACTTGGCTCTGGAGATGCAGGCAGTGGGGATGGAGGGGAAAAGGAGAACAGAAAGAGTACAGCATTGCCCCATACGGTTCGAGTGGAAATAAAGATGGAAATTCACATGCAGAACAGGGCTCCCATCAGGAACAGGGCTGCCAAACTTAGACATGAAAGAAGACAAACTCAGGCAGCGGGGGCCTATTGACTGCACAACAGCCACGAACAACGCTCAAAGCCTGGGATCAGGGGACCTTCATCTTCAGAGACAGATTTGTGCAGAGCCCCAGGCAGGCAGCGAGTCAGCTCTCCAGAGCAAGAGGGCTGTGCAACCATGACCACATCAGATGACACGGGATTGTGTGCCCAGAAGACGGTGTTATCGAAGCCCCCGTTAAAACTCTGCTGTCCTTTCCTGGGTCATGCCAGAACCCGGTCAGGGCAGGGACTCCAGGGGAGGTGTATAATCTGTGACAGAACTGGGCTTAGGGAACTGGTCCCCAGGTCCTGACCGTGACAACAGGCGCACGCACACATGTGAACACTCTCACACGTGTACACATGCACAAGCCTTACTCAAGGTAAAGTCATTTCAGCTTCTTAAAGCTGCTGCCAAAAATGCAAACTGTGTTTGTTATGCCCCTTGTCCTCCACAAATCTGCAAACAGAAATATTTAAAGAGCATGTCAGCATCTGAACTGCTCAGGAGCTAATACCCTCCAGCCCCAAAACACACGGGCATACCAGCACAGACTTCCCTGTCTGTGTCCTGGGGACAGCAGCTGTGTCTGACTCAGCTGAAGCTCCCCAGTTTTGGCCATTCTGGAGGGAAGTGCTGGCACACACTGATCAGCACCGTGGCAAGACTGCCTGTAAAACCACTCACAAAAACAAATCAGACAGCTGGTTCTTCTGAGCCTGCTGAATTAGGGCTACTATATCCATTAGATTTCCATTCCTGTCTTTGATTTCCATGGTACAGAGGAGGTATAACCTCCAATGGGTGGCTGGGTTCTTCTGTCCTAAGGCTGTGCTTCTCCAGCCTGCTTCTCCTCCCTAACAAAGCACAGATCACCCCAGTCCTCTCTTTTATTTCCCCAGGACTCTAGGGCAGGCAGCCTTCAAATTATTGTGGTTACTGAGCCCAGAGACTACTGAAGAGCAGTTACACCGGAGGAGACAGTGTCAGCCTTCCCTTATATTTGTGAGGAGCCTGGTGAGCACATCCCCAGGAGATGTAAGGACTGCTTTAGATGGACGGGCAGCAAGTAGAGAAAGGCACTGGGGTGGCCTTAGGCAGCGTGCTGCTGCAGAGTCGCGCTCAGGAAAACATGTCTGTGGCCAAAGCAGCCCGGGGGAGCCAGGCTGACCCACTCCCACAGGCGCTGGGAGCGTATCTCCAGAAACACAGGCTGTGGATGGAGGCCAGCTGGCAAGGGCGCCAGAGAGACGGTACAGCCAGAGTCAGAAGCTGACCTGAGAAGGGGGAAAAAGGAGAGGGAATTAACTTGCAGAGGCACTACAGTTTCTTCCCCTAGAGTAACAAGGTGCCACTTTCAGACAACGAGGTAACACCACCTGCCTCCTTTCTCCCTGAGCCCCGTCCTTCCTTTAGGTATATGGATGTCAGCAGCCCAGAGGAAAACTAGGCAGAGCCCCACAGCCCCTTGTTCGCTGCAATCCCTGATCAGGGAGAGCCATCTCCTGAGAAGGAAGATGGAGGGACTGGAGCCTCAGAAGGTGACAGCGGCATTCTGCATGGTTCCCTGGGCTTTCCTCAGCACCGCCTGAAGCTCTAGAAATGCAGGTGAAGGATCAAGGAAGGAAGCAGATCTGGCATTGCCCGAACCTCGCCATACCAGGCCGGGGGAGAGTCTTCCACTCCCAACATGGCACCAGCCATGGGCAGGCCTGCTGCATGGAGTGGGCAAAGGGCTTCCCTGATCCTTGGAGCTACTGAATCCACACAGTGGGTACCCAAGGATGCTCAGCACCTGTCAGGATCAGGCCATGGCTGTCACCAACTCCAAACACACCTGGCCTTGCTCTCCAAACATGCAAATCCTTCCCAGTTCTGACCGCTCTGAAAAATAAACCCCTTTCCCACCATCTCCCCTTGTGTCAAAAAAACCATTCTGGTTGGTCAATCAAGGAAACAGATAACAAAAAGCAAAATCTCAACTAATCTTTGTGGCTGAAGAAAGAGCTGATTGTTTTTGCCTCTCTCTGAGCCCACCCTGTGTCCTGCACTTCCCCAGTCCTCTTCACGCCTTCTTCCCTTTATTGCCAGGGAAAGCAAATCCTGGTCTTTGGGCTGTTTTGTTTAGCAAATGAGGGACATGCAAAGCAATAACCCCAGGCATCTGTCAGAAGGAGAGAGGTGCCTCTGTGTCTTCCAGACAGCCTTCAGGCGCTGAGAGCAGCAGCCCAGAAATACTATGATCAAGGGTGGATTTAAGTTTGGACACAGGACACATCTTTCTCTTCCTAATGAAGACAGAGCCACGGGACCTGTGGGAAGCGAGGTGTGTCCCAGCTAGCATGAAATTACACTGGAGCTTATCCTCAGGTTGTATTAACCTCCATGGAGTGGAATCCTAGAGAAGGCAAAACTCTGAAGTTGTCACGTTGTGTTGGCAATGGTTAGGGAAGGCCTAAAAGGGACTGAGGGGAAGGACAGGGAAGAATTAGGCTCCAGTTGGGTACAGGTTGTATTGGAAAAAAAATTATTTGCTGAGTCCAGTTGCTTCCTGCCCTAGACTTCACGAGAAAGCGTTTTCAGCGAAAAAAAGATAAGAGCAGAGTCCCTTGTCCTCACAGCAGATTGTTCCCCCAGGGCCACGCAGTCGTAGGTGATGAGGACACACCAGCAGGTTAGTTCTAGCTCTTCAGCACAGCACACAACGGGAAACCTTAAGAATTAGACAATCTCCCAGAAATAGCTGCGTGCACATGTTTCCTTGCATAGGGCAAACATTCCTGCCTGCCATTAAGGGCCTAACCTGGGAACAGATAGGGAGCTTGACCTGCAAAGCTGCTACAGAATTAAAAAAGTACACCACAAAATTTTTTATCACTTATTTTGCTCACAAAACAGATTTTTTTCCCTGGAATAGCACATCCACACAGAGGAGGCAACCCAGAACAGCCACACCAAAATTATTCAAGGATAGTTAAATCAGTTGGTTGCCTCTGTGCTGGATGAGACCTCAGAAAATGCAAATCCCTGCAGAGTTCCTGACCCACCATCTTTCAACTAACAGTCACCATGGACACACACCGATCTTAAGGCTGCAACCCTGAACTGAGACATGAGATCTGCCATACATTTCCTGCATGACCACGGACAAGACATGAGCGCTGGATTTCTGAAGTTGTTCGACACACTATGAAGCTCACAGAAAGCTTCACCCCATCTGTGAGAGGAGGATAATAATTCCCTCTCTCCCCTTCACTTCACTTGTTTATTTCAACGGTAAGATAGTCAGGAACGGGACTTCCCCCCCTTATCTTCTACATACAGCACCGTGCACAATGGAGCCTTGATCTCAGCTGGAATACCTAAGTGCTACTGCAATACTAATAACGAGTGATAGAAACTTAATTCAGCAAAGCAACCTAATTCTGTAACTGACTTAGAAAGAAATCCTCCAAGTGAGACCCCC